CCTGCCTCTGCCTCCCAAGTGCTGGGATTAAAGGCGTGCGCCACCACCACCCGGCAAAATGAATGAATCTTAAACAAAAAATTTTTAAAAAAGTCTAAGACCTGAAAATCCCAGGTATCTATTTATATGAAGACATTTGCTTCAAGACACATACAGACGTGTGTGGAGGCATTGTTCCTCCTGTTCTCCCAGGCCTCACTGTGCCATTGTCTTCCATCTGGTTAGCTTCACTGAGTCACTCCTGTTGGAGTCTATGTTTGGGCTCCTTGGGCCTGACCAGCTTAGGAAACTGGTCATAGGCTGGAGTGGAGTGGGAGGAGGCAAATACAGCCCAGTATGTCGCAGTTGGTAAAAAGTAGTTCTGTTTTACCTCCAGCAGTTTCAGGGGACTGAGGAGTTGAGGTAGGAACTCATGTCGCTTAGGCTGGCCTTGAACTTGCTATGTAGCTGAAGAAGATCAGTTTTTTGATTCTCCTCCCTCCATTTCCTAAGTGCTTAAGTAACAGGCACATGCCATTTTACATGTGGTGCTGTGTATTGAACCCAGGGGCCCTTACGTGCTAGGCAAGCACACTGTCAACCAGGTTACACCCCGAGCCTGACCCCAGCACTGTTACCTGGTGAGCATCGTTTGCCTAATAAATGTGCCTAACTCTGTTACGGGTGAGAGGCTCTGCAAAGCAGAGAGGTATGTATGTCTCTTACATCCTCAGCCAGGTCCTGAGGTGTCTCATCTTCTACGTTCAACAGCAGGGAGTCAGCACCGGCCTCGCACAGCGTGGATGAGATGCTGTTGAGGCCCCGGCCGGCTGCCAGGTGCAAAGGTGTACACCCATTGAGCATCCGGGCATCTACCCGGGCCCCAGCCTGGAGCAGGAACTGAACCAGGCTGCGCTCCTGGGTTTCCACGGCCAGGTGCAGTGCAGTCTTTCCACTGGTGCCCTCCTGCAGAGGAACAAGGATATCAGCTACCCATGTTATGAGGCAGTGTGCCCAGCCTGTGCTCTGGAGATGGGCTGTCAACATGTTTGACCCTGGCAGGGGACCTGTGGCTAGAACAGACGGTGGCAGGTGGTGGACCTGGTGGAGCCTCACCTGCACATCAATGTCGGCTCCATTCTGAAGCAGCAGTTCGATGAGTGGTTGGTTCCTCTGCAAGGTGGCAATATGGAGACAGGCCAGACCTGGGGTGGGAGAGGACCCGGGGACTGCTGTTCAGTGTCTACTGATCCTTTTCTGCAGGGACTACCCTGCCCTTTAGCCTCAAGGGACCCCTGCCTACTCAATGCCTCTAATCACAGGACTATTAAAAATACAACCTCCCCAAAATCCCCTCAGAGGTCTGAGAGGAAAGGAACTCAAAGTTTCCACTTTTTCGGTCATGTTACTGAAACTTTTATGCTTCAAGGCTCAGGCTGCTGAGTGACAGGCCCAAACACACACACAGTCTTCCAGTACACACACCCACCCCTGCTAACTCTAGACTTTTACCTTCAAGCCCAGGCAAGGCTCCTCAGAGCTGTTTGGGGAATCCTCACGCCCCTCAGTCTCTACCCCCCTTCTGGCCTAGAACCTCCTTCCTTTCCCCAACGTTGCTTATAATAGAGATTTAGATTATAATTTACATCCTTTGTCTCTTTTGAGTCTCTGCTCAAAGGCTCCTGGCTCTGAGGATTTCCCTATAAATATTACCCTTCATCCCTGCCACATTCCGGTCCTCCCCCTCCTCTAGTCTACCACAGCACCCACTTCCTTTACACACACACACACACACACACACACACACACACACACACAGAGTTCACAGCGTGTTACTTATCATTTCCTTCCTTGGTCTTGCTCACAGGTATAAAGTCCTGTTCGCACCTTGCCAGTTCTTCAATTGGAGGTCCAGGGGATGAGAAGGCTGTCTGCCTGGCTCTGGCTGCTCCTCCAGCAAGCAGCACGCACAGGCCAGATTCTGGCGCTGACAGGCTACATGCAGGGCTGTGTCACCGTGTTGATCCTGCAGAATTCGGCTGGCTCCCTTCAGCACCAGTGCCCGGACGATGTCTGGCTGGTCCAGATGAACAGCCAGATGCAGTGCTGTCTGTAGGCGTAGAGGGTCACAGAACCACACTGTAGCAGGTTCCTACCCCTGAGAACATGTGGGGATACAACCACCTCTAACTCCCTGTAGCCTCTCTGAAAGTAGCTGTAAGGGTCATGGTTGGGTCTTCTGTGAAATTACTCCTAAGCCCCTCCCCAAATACTTGGGACCCCAATTCTGGAAGTAGGGTGAGGAAAACAGTGCCTTTCCCTTAATCCTTCATCCCCTGGGGAGATCTGTAACATCCTCCAGGGTTTGTCTGCAGGGGCTAGGTGAGGGGAGGAAAGACAGAGGAGCCAGGCCCGGCTCCCTGACAACTTCCCCCTTTAAGGCTCAGTTAAATTGTCATCTCTGATATGCAGCCTTCCTTGCCTGACCCACAAAGAGGCCAGACCCAACTGACGCTGGAAAGGCCTTCAATACACTTGTCACTGTGCTGTATAGTTAGGTACCAGTGATGAGTCTGTGGGCACCTCATGGGCAGATGCTGCTTCCACCGTCTTCATCTTTGCATTGCAGCTTCTGGCACCGTGTCTGGCAGATGGTTTGGCTGCCAGGGATGGCAACAAGTATCTGGGCATAGCCTTCTCTCTCTACTCACCTGGTAAAGGTTGTTCTGAATGTCCAGGACTTCCTGGGGCAGGAAAGCCAAGCAACAGAATAGCACTGACGGAGCTTCATGAATTACTGCCAGGTGGAGGAGCCTGGGGCAGGAGAGGGGTAGGGTCAGAGCCCAGGTCAGAGAGGAGAAGCTGGCATCTCGGGGTTAGAATGGACGAATCAAGCTCTAACTAGCTACCCACAACCAAGCAGGTGCAGGAAATGAGCATCTAAGCCAGGAAGTGAGGGGTTGGTACAGGAAGCCAGGGATTCTGGAGGTGGGAGCTCCAAGCTCGGATGGCTGGACCTGTGGAGGGCCTTGGCTGGGTGGGCATGTGGGCAGGGTGCTGACAGGACAAGGGCCTTCCTGTCCAACTTGCCCACACCCAGCTCCCTTCTGCCCCCAGGGCCTTGCCAGGCCAGCTGCGGCTCAAAGCTAAACTGAAAGCGGCTGCAGGGACACAGAGGGGGTTTCCAGGGCTGAACTACCCACCTCCCCACAACAAGACAGGAGGAGGCAGATATGGGGTTCCCCCAGCAACTCAATGTCACACATTCCAAGGAGACAGCACCGCATTTCGAACTGCTGCCTTACCCACTAGTCAAGAGGGCCATTCCTCAGTCTGCAGGAGCCATATGGGGTCTGGTCACAAACCCTCCCCTAGGTACAGCTCCAAGGGGAGTTTGGTGAAGTGCAGAAAATAGGTCCGATGGGGAGCGGGGTTACAGGGGTTGTAAGTTAGGGCCAACGGGGACAGCTGGGATGGGAAGTTCCAGTCTTGGGGTTTCCCCACATCAGGTGGGGAAAGGAAAGCCAGGGTTAGATGGTCTGGACCTGGACAGCTGCCTTGGGGCAACTTGGCTAAAGGCCTGTCTGGGGTAGGGAGGGGGATCCTTAGGCAGGAGGGGGGCAAGCTTTTGCTGTAGGCAGGCAGTAAAGGAGGCCAGGGGGGAGAGTGACGGAGGGAGGGAGGAACCACTCTGGAAATCCCCTCGGCCAGGGCCTGCTCTCTGGGTCACATTCCTGCAGACACCTCCCTTTCTCCCTCAGCGTCCCCTCCTCCCACCCACTTCCTTTTCCCACTTCCACACTTCCCATAGTCTGGCCACCTCCAAAGGAGGGAAGATAGATGTCTGCTGGGGAGCCCTGAAGCTTCTCCACAAACACACAAACACCTGTCTCTAAGCAGAGAGTGTCTGGGCTGCAGCTCAGAGGCTAACTGTGGAGGGCAGCCTGAGAAGCTGTGCATGGAGCTTCCAAGAACCCTGAGGTCCTGGGCTAAGGGTCTGTGCCTGGTGCACGGAATACGAAGAGGCTTACCACCCCTCTTCCGCTAACAGCGTGGAGACTATTTCGGCCGGTATCCACCCAAGACCCCTACATCTCCACCAAGCAGGGCAGGGCAGGTTCCCCTACATTCCAGCGTATCTCATCTACGACTCCAGCTGCCCCTGCTCTGTCATCTGCAAACCCCGTCACCTCTTCTGCACTTGATACCCTACACACTTGATAGCCTCACGGTCCAGCTGCACCTGACTCCGGCTGGGCCTGGGGGTAGGGGGGGAGGAAAGGAAAGATCAAGAGATAGGGCAGTAAGGAGAATTTGGGGAGCTCAGGAGGTGCAGGGTGTTGGGGAGGCTGACGCCAAGCCATTACTTCCCTTTTCTCAGCTGAGGAGGAAGTGAGATGGGCCAGCCAGCTGGCTATCCTGTTTGTTGGGGGCAAGAATTCTCAGTCTAGTCCTTCTTTTGGAACCAATTCCAAACAGGCACCCAGGCAGCACCCTTATTTCAGGCTTCCTGGACTCAGATGTCAACCTGTAATCCTGGTGCTGTCTTTTTTTCCTCTGGTTAGGGTGTTCTGAAGTGAGGCACTGGTATCCCAAATATTGAGCAAACTGGGACACCCCTTCCCCCAATAAGAAAAACAAAAACTGAATTGGTTGCTGGGGGAATTCCTCTTCCCAGGGGTGGGTCACTGGTAGATTTTCAAGATTCTGGCTGGTGTTCTAGGTTACAAGGGCCCTGCTAGCTCTGTCCACTCCCAAAAGAGGTGATGATGTCTGTTTTTTTTTTTTTTTTGTCTGAACCTGGCTACAGCTTAAAAGCAGGCTGTAAATTAAGTTTGGAGTTTGGAGAAAGGGACTGACCCTTCCAGGGCGGGTGCTGTAAGGGTCTGTCCTCTCGGGTGATGAAGTGGTGGTGGGTGCCCAGCCAGTTGCAGCTCCTAGGGAGGCTCTGACTGAGCATCCTGTCTCAGCCTAGCGAGGTTACTCACGTGTCTCCATCCTCAGAGATGTATGTGAGTGCCTCGAGTTGCTGAGGGCTCAGCCCTCCCGCGGGGGGCAGCGGCGAGCCTGGGGCGGGCGGGCTTGGATCCTTGGCTTCGGGTCTCTCCAGCAAGGGCAAGGACTCAGTGAGAGAGGAGGAGGCATAGGTGGAGTCGGCTCGCTCTCCATCCGCATCTTCCTTCTCCTCTGGTTCCTTGTCGGTCTCCGGAGCACGGCTCCAAGGCTGTGGGCAGCCGCTGTGCGATGATCCGGAGACTGGGGCCGCAGTAGGCTCGGGCAGGGAGCGCAGAGAGCGCAGCGACTCTATGCCGGAGTCGCACTGGCTGTCGTCCGCCTCGTCCGGCCCCTTCCGCGCATCCGACATACCGGCCGAGCCAGCCCGGGGTCCAGGGTCCAGCGGGATCTCACTCGGAGGTGTGCCGCGCGCTTTTCCGGGTTTGTGTGTCCGCCTAACAGAACCAGAGTCCCTCCCCGAGCGGCTTCATTACCTGGCTGTGCAGGCTCGGGGAGCGGACGAGAAAAACGTGAGGTCCAGCAGGGCTCCGGCCAGGTCCACCGCAGCTGAAGAGTCCCTAGTCAGGTCTTCTCTCTCGCCCCGCCCCCGGGCCCAAGAAGTGACCACCAGCCCCTGCCACGCCCACAGCCCCGCCCCTCCAAGGAGCTTCCGGGTAGAGCCCCGCCCCTCCGGAATCCCCCTGCTTGCTGCTTGCGTAGGCAGGGAGTCTCTGGTTACCGGTCTTGACTCACTTCTGCGTGGTTTGTTTCGCCCATTCATTCATTCATTCATTCATTCATTCATTCATTCACTCATTCACGCACTCTTCCCCTTCCCTTTTATTTCATTCACTAATTCCACGTGCATTCGTTCGTTCCTTCTTTTTAGTTCTGTGGTGTCGTCATTCATTTAGTCGTGCAGTTGTTTAAAAAGTGTAATTTTTTTGATTTTTCTGCATAAACTGGCTACTTTGTGGGGAGTGTGTGAAGGTTGGTGGGTGGTGTCTTAGCGTTTCTATTGCTGCAATGAAACACCTTGAACCAGAAAGCAAGTCGGGGAGGGAAGGGTTTATTCGGCTTATACTTCAAGGTCATAATCCATTATCAAAGGAAGTCAGGTCAGAAACTCAAACTGGACATGATCCTGGATGTGGGAGCTCATGCAGAGGCCATGGGGGTGGGGGTGGGGGTGGGGGTGGGGGGCGTCCTGCATACTGGCTCGCCCCCCATGGCTTGCACAGCCTGCTTTCTTATAGAACCCAGGGCCACCAGCCCAGGGATGGCACCACCCACAATGGGGTGGTGGGCCCTTTCCTTCAGTCACTAATTAAGAAAGTGGCTTACAGCTGGATCTTACGGAGGCATTTTATCAAGGTTCCCTCCTTTCAGATGACTATAGTCCCCATCAGGTTGCCTGAGCAACCACACAGATTGGGGGTGAGGGCTCTGCTTGCTACCCTCTGCCTATTTTTTCTCAACTTCTCTTGCCTTTTCACTTTTTTCCAATCAGTTCTCAGAGGGATTGGTAAGAGGGGGTGTACCTATTATTTTTAGGGGAGCAGCTTTTCCCTGGGAAATCGTCATAGACAGTCTCCTGTGTCAACTCCCCTAATCACAGATTTGACAGGAGGATATGATTTGGGGAAGTGGGTTTTCCGGGGCAGACTTATCTAATAAGTCATGGTGGTCATGGGGTTTCTTCTTCCTTACAGGGTGTGCACTGGCTTTTGGTGGGTACAGGAGATAGCTATCCCCCAGTAGTCAAAGAAGTTTAGTTCCTCACAGTGGGGACAGGATGGGGAGGCCCCAACACTATTGAAGTCTCCACGCTAGCCCTGAAGTCTTTCCCCTTCCTTCCTGCTTTTCCTCAACATACTTAGGATTCGAGAAAACAGCACCCACAGGTCATCCCTGAGCTGGAACTTCTTGCTGCTCATTTCCTGAGGCTAGCAATGCCCTTAGAAGACCATTGCCAACCAAGGGAACAGCTTCATTACATTTCTGGCATTGGGGGACGGAGGAGCTAGGAGAGAAGCTATTATAAGCCATTCTCTTCTGCCCTTTCCCCCAGAACCTTATTTTGTTCATTCATTCACTCGTTTGCAAACATATGGAGCTGCTTTTGAAAATGACCCAGGTTCAGTTCCCAGCAGCCACAGGTGGGCTAACAACCACCTGACATTGGATATGGTGCCCTTTCTTGACCTCCATGGACACTAGATATGAACACATACAGGCAAGACACTCATACACATAAAATAAAAATAAACAATTCTTTTATTTATTTATTTATTTATCTCAGTTTGTCAAGACAGGGTTTCTCTGTGCAGTCCTGGCTGTCCTGAAACTCACTCTGTAGACCAGGCTGGCCTCGAACTCAGAGATCCACCTGCCTCTGCCTTCCAAGTGCTGGGACTAAAAGTGTGTGCCACCATTCCTTTATTAATGAATAAATAAAATCTTTGAAAGTTTCTGGCAATTACAACATAAAATGTTTGTCACACAGTAGGGTCAACTACTTACTCAGCGGGGAAAGAGACAGAGCTGGCTCAACTTGAGCTGGACACGGTGAGGGAAAGACTTGAGAAGAGCCTCCTCTCCTCCCAGGAGTCAATGTGGGTGACCTTAGCCGAGATGCATAACATTGGGGACATGGAACCTGAGGAGGTCACCTCCTCTAGCCAGGCAGGACCTCCAGTGCAGGGTTAAGGACATCAATCCACCCACAAAACTTTTGACCCAAAATTTGTCCTGTCTAAAACAAATGCAGGGACAAACATGGAACAGAGACTGAGGGAATGGCCAACTGATAACTGGCCCAACTTTAGACCCATCCCATAGGCAAGCACACATTCCTGACACTATTAATCATACTCTGTTATGCTTGCAGACAGGAGCCTAACGTAACTGTCCTCTGAGAGGCTTCACCCAACAGCTGACGGAAACAGCGGCAGACACCCACAGCCAAACACTGGACTGGTCTTGTGGAAAAGTTGGAGGAAGGAGTAAAGGCCCCAAAGGGGATGGCAACCCCACAAAAAGACCAACAGAGTCAACTAACCTGGACCCTTGGGAGCTCTCGGAGTCTGAACCACCAACCAAAGAGCATACTCGAGCTGGACTGAGCTCTGTCCCCCTGCACATATGTAGCATGTATACAGCTCAATCTCCACACGGGTCCCCCAACAATTGGAGTGGGGGCTGTCCCTAATGCTGTTGTCTGTCTGTGGAATCCATTTCCCAATAGTGGGAAAGGATGAATCTAACCCTCTCAGAGGAGAAGGGATTCTGTGAGGGTGGGACCTGGAGGGAGGCAGCAATTAGGATATAAAATTAGGATATAAAATTAATTAACTAACTAATTAATTAACTAATTAATTAATTAACTAATTAATTAATTAAAGAAGATTGTCCTCTCACTCACTGCTCTCTGTCCCACTGGAGGACTACCAAGAGGGTGTGCTGAGCATAGCAGGTTGGAATCACGACAGGACAGACAAGGAACGGAGACATCCATTAGGAATGTAGCTCAGAGGTAGGTGCTGCTTACCTGGTAAATGTAGTACTTTAAGTTTCATCCTTAGCACTAAACCCGGAAGTCACCTCCCTGAGTAAAACAAAGAATAACTGAGCAGTCACTTCCCTGGGATTACTGTGACTTCAGAAGTTTTCAACATCCTCTCCTGTATGCACCCCTCCTAGTCTCAAAATCTACAGTAAATGTATAAACCACAGGTTAAAAAACTGCCTGAGGCCCAGAGAGGTCAGCTGGCTTGCCCAAGAACCCATAGTCAGAAAAACACAGAACTTGCTTCTTTTGACCTAATGCTATGTTTTATAAGTTTCCTTCAGTGAAACTCTTACCAAGATCTAAAAACCATCAATGGGGGAACCTGACTTAGGGGAATGCAAGGGACCACTTTTCTAATTCACTAAGAAGCCACATTTAACGTTTTGTGTGTGGTCCTGAGCCCTAACAGGTGTGTGGCAATCCCTTTAGTAACCACATGGGGTCAGCATTGAGCCACCCACGGCCTCAACCAACGCGCCTATACTCTGTCATGGAGTCTTTCTGTCACTCCAGGAGTCTGGAGAAGGACCCCAGTGGCAGTGTTATCTCAAAAGATGCTCATTGGCCTTTGACTCAAGCTGCCATGTGGTTACATCCTGGCTTTTCTTAACATCAGCCTTCTTCCAATGGGGCCACTCAGCCCCTCCCTTTCTAGTGGTGTCCTCTGCTTCCCTTTGGACAGCCCTACTTCCCACCTCTGCCCACTGTGCTAGACTTATCTTCAGGGAAACAGGCCCAGTTTCCATGGTGACCAGGCGGTCAGCTTCTTCTACTGCCCCCTCCTTTCAATTCCCCATTCCCTGGCGCTTCCAGGGAAAGATATTGTCTACGACCAGAGAAGATGAGAGTTCTGGAGTTGACCAAAGGGAGTTGTCCCTCTTTCAACTGTCCTCTGAGGTAGAGTCCCCTGAAGTAGAGACAGTGGATGGGCATGGGGGGGGGGATCATAACCAAATGGAAAGTATGAGTCGTCCATGTAGGTTAGGAAAGCCCTGTTCTGGGACCTCCACTGTCTGTGCAGGGAAGACAGACTGGACCCAGAGTGAGGGGCTAGAGTTGGCTGTGAGGCAGGTGGGGGGAACCACTGGAATGAGGTACTGAGATTCCTCTTGTGTCATGGGTACGGATGAGAAGGTTTCCCTTCTTTTTTTTTTAAGATTTTTTTTTTTTTTTGAAACACGGTTTCTCTGTGTAGCCCTGGCTGTCCTGGAACTCACTCTGTAGACCAGGCTGGCCTCGAACTCAGAAATCCGCCTTCCTCTGCCTCCCAAGTGCTGGGATTACAGGTGGGCGCCACCACCGCCTGGGCGAAGGTTTCCCTTTTGGAGACTACACATGCCCAGTTCAGGGAAAGAATGGACTTTTTGACCCAAGAGGATCATTCAGGCTGACACTTCAGAGCAGTAGGTGGACAGAAGTCCATCTGTCCTCACTTGGAAAGGAGGAATAGGAAATAGGAACATGGGCGCAGAAGCATTGAGGGGGGCCGGGGGAAGCAGAAATGTGGATGGAGGGAGTGTCCCTCCTTATCTGGAAGAGGCAAGGGAGCACCTGGCTTCCTCAGGATGCTTATGTCTAACCCTGAGATCAGATATGATAGCAAAGCCACTTCAAGGTCACTTTCTGCTCCAAAGGAACTTCCGGTGTTGGGAATTAGAGCTAGCTCTTCATGAATGCTACACAAGTGTTCTGTCACTGAGCTACAAACTCAATCTCAATCTACTACCCAACCCCTTTTTGGGACAACATTTTGGTATATAGTCCAAGCTGGCCTCAAATATTGATCCTCCTGCCTCAGATGTGTGTCACTTCCCTTCACGAAGAGACAGCTCTGAAGTCTAGGAGTCATTCTGTGGGTGCTGGCAGGTGGTTTCATAAGCACCCACTTGCCCTCCCTTTGCCTTGGTTCCCAATGGGTAAGGAAGACTGGATGACAAAGACCCCAGGTTGGCACAGTGACTGTACATACCCGGAACAACCACCATGCCTGGCCTTTATCACAACCTATTGTAGTGATTGGTTTGCACGTCTTCTCTTCAACCAGACTGTCGTTTTTGAAGGTAGGAAATTGTATTTTATGCCTATACATGACATATAGTAGGTGCCGAGTACTTGCTTATGGATGCACTAGGCATGCGCGCACACGGAACGTTGCCAGTCTCTTGTGTGTCCTAGCCAACGCAGGGAAAAGCAGCCGTGGGTGGGCAGCACAAAGGGCTTGGCTACCGGCAGTCCCGGCAGTCATTCAGCTTGCCTGTGGTCTGTGACTTTGCCTCCCTACCCTGGCAGACTAGTGAACTTTTTCATTGTACCCGTGAGGGAGGAAATAAGGACTTAGAGAGAGAAGGTGTTTGTCTAAGGGCACACAACTTATGGTAGAGCCAGGATTAAGAGAACTCAGGTGTCCTTAACCCCCAGTCTAGGGAACTGGGTGAACTTCATCGCTTTTCTGGGGCTGCTCTTGTGAAGGAGGGTGAGCTTTTCCGCGGCTCATCTATCTGCCCTCTAGTAGTCCTTTCTCGGATTTAGCTTCAGTGCCTCTGGAGTCCGGTTTCTGCCTTAACCCTTTACCATGCAAATTAGGAATAAGGGTCTTCCCTAAGATACCCAGACTCATCTTCTTCTCCCTAGGCTTCAGCCTCAAGGACTTGTGGGGACCAGAGATGGGAGAGGAATGTTGGTTGATCCTTCCGTGCGCCAGGGCCCTTCTAAGAGGGCAGCTGGAGAGGAGTTGAGGCTGAGATCTTCCCAGAATGGGCAGGCGGAAGGAAGATGCGGTGAGCAGGGCCGAGAGACAGAAAGGGTGCGGGGAGCCCCTGTTGCTTCTCCCCTTCGGCGGTGTGGTGGTGGTTATTAGGAAGGCTTGGTGAAGGCGGAGTTTGGGGGGCTGGGGGCGGGGCTCTGCTGCACTGGGAGGAAGAGGGGGGGCGCGCTGGCTCCAGCTCGGCTCAGACAAAAGGCGGCGGCGGGAGCGGGCGGGAGGCGGAGCGGCGCCGCGAGGGCCTCAAGGTGACACCCGCCCCCGGCCCCGGCCCCCCCAGCCCGGCCCCTTCAGCCCGCCCTCCCACCCATCCCCCCATCTCCGGCCTCCCCCGTGCCCTTCCTAGGCCCCCTCCCCCCCGGCGGGGGGTGGGGAGCAGAGAGGGCCCCGCCCCTCGCGCCCCCTCCTCAGGGCCAGCGCAGGATGCCCCCGGCCCCTGGCAGCCCCCCGGGAGATCCTGAGCTCGACGCGCCCCCTCTACGCCATGTCCCCCCCTGGCTCGGCCGCGGGAGAGAGCGCCGGCGGCGGCGGCGGCGGCGGCGGCTCCGGGGTCCCGGAGGAGCCCATGGCAGCGGCGGACGAGGGCCCCGCCCGAGAGGAGGTGAGAGCCGGCGGCCCCCGGTTTCCCCGCACAACCGCGACCTGGCCCCCATCCCCCGCACCTCGCGCGGTCCCCGCCGGTTCCGCCGCAGAGCGGCCGGCGCCCCGCACCCCGAGCCGGCCGCTGCAGCCGCAGTCCAGCATCACTGCCCCGACCTGGCTGCCCGCGCAGACCGCCGTGGCGAGGAAGGGGCCGCGTCGGGGGCGGGGCTCGGGGGGTCCCGGGCAGGGGGAGGGGCCCTGGGCGGAGCCTCGTAGACCCCGGGCTCAGCGGAGAAGGGTTAGGCCAGCCCCCGGGTGAGGCTGGTGGGCGGCATCCCACCTTGAAGGCCGGGAAGGAGGACTGGAAGTGCTCGGAGGCAAGAAGAGTGCCTTGGGGGAAGCGATGCTGTCACCCTAGCTGGGATCATAGGAAGAGCAGACTGGTACAGAGGCCATACCCCCTGGGGTCACTGGGAGTGTGTGTAAGGGGGCTGCTGTTCACCTCTCTCTCTCAATGCCTGATGCTCCCCCTAGGGGGCACTGAGCTTAAGAATTTCTGAGTCAGTACTATGCATGTACCTCGCTAGGGTCCTACTTTAGTCTTTTGAAAACGGGAGACAAAGAAACTAAGGGAAGTACCAGTAGCCCTCCGTCCCAGCCTCCCATCCACACTGGTGCACAGCATGCATATTGCACGGGGGCGGGAGGAGAGTGGGGACGTACTTGAGGGTAGCCCCTTTCGGTTGTACTCACACTGGGACAAGCACATGACCAGGTGGGCACACGGGTGCACATATATACCCTTCCAAAGGCACAGTTCCTGAAAGGCAAGGGTGCCCTCCTTGCCTTGCAGGTACATGTTCTGTGTTTTTTTCCTGTTCTTCCTACCGACGCACAGAAATCTAGGGCCTCTGCTGTTAACTGTACACTTGGTTTCCACTGCTTTCTCTCTCTTTCTGGCTGGTCCCAAGGCCAGGCATGACAAATTAGAGGGGCCAGTCATCACTGCATCAGAAGGTTTTGTGTTTGTGTGTATACACACGAGTGTGCGACAATGCAGAGGGGGTGGAAAGACGGGCCATTTGAGCAATCAAACTCAATCCTCATTGATTATGCGCCTGCTGGGTGTCACTTAAGAGGCAAAGAGAATGAGACATGAGCCCTGCCCTCAGGAGCGCTCCATCTGGTGGGGAACTAGACATGTAAACAACTCAGAAGGTGCCAAGTGCTTTTAACAGACCGGCCCTGGGAGAGCATCAAATATTAGTGACAAATGCCTGGGCTTCCAGTGCCTTCCTTACCTGTGGTTCATACCTGTATCTTCTCTGCCAAGGGGCCCCAGACCCTCTTCCCCACCCTAGAACAGAGAGGAAGAGTGTGTGTGCTTGCCGGGAAGGAGAGGGTGTGAATAGAAGGAAGACTCACGGAAGGACACAGGGGAGGTGGGAAGGATGAGATTGACCTGGCTTAAAAACCACTTCTTCAAGGGAAGTGTTCGCTTGTCTGTGAGGGAGACGGAGATGCGTGAGCCAGAGGAAAGTGGGTACTCTGGAACCCAGGACTAACGAGAACTGCAAGTGGTCAGGGCCCCACGTGTTAAGTGGGGGAGACAATATCAGTGGGTCCTTCCCTACTCTCCTGGGACCCCCGGGAAGGTCTAGGCTGAGGACCTACCTTCACTAATGCATGTTTGTCTATTCCTTTTTTTCCCCATCCACCCCTTCTCTTGTTTCATCACCATCTTTGTGTTTGTCTTTGGACTCTTTCTGGATACCATCCTATTCATCTGGGCCTCCGATTCTGATCTCTCTCTGCCTCTTGTGGTATCTCTCTGTCTCTCTGTACTTTCCTGTGTTGGCATTCTGGTCACCTTTTCTCATGGTTCTGTCTGGGACCCTTCTGTGTTTATCTCTGGTCACTGGTTCCCATCTTTGTCTCTTCCTGCTACATTCCTGTCTGCCACCCTGGTGCTGGCCCACTGTCTCTCAATCTGTGTTCATCACCTTTGTGCTGGGTCCTGCCTCTTCATCTTGGCATCCCCCCCATCCAAGCAGCAGCGTCCCATCCAGCCCTCTTTCACCAAATCTCTCTGCCGTGAGTCTCACTGGAAGTGCCTACTGCTCTCGCTGCTAATGTATGGCTGCCTGGGGGCAGTGGCTTGGTGCCACGTCACCACAGTGACCCGCCTCACCTTCAGCAGCGCCTACCAGGGCAATAGCCTCATGTACCATGACAGCCCCTGTTCCAACGGCTATGTCTACATCCCCCTGGCCTTCCTGCTCATGCTCTACGCTGTCTACCTGGTGGAGTGTTGGCACTGCCAAGCCCGCCACGAGCTACAGCACCGAGTGGACGTAAGCAGCGTTCAGGAGCGCGTGGGCCGGATGCAACAGGCCACCCCCTGCATCTGGTGGAAGGCCATCAGTTATCACTATGTCCGACGAACTCGCCAGGTCACCCGATACCGCAATGGAGATGCCTACACCACCACCCAGGTGAGAGGCTGTGGGGGAGCACAGGCTGTTCAAGATGAGGAAGGTTGCTCAGATTGCCCGCCTTTCTCTCTGCCTGAGAGGGAGAGCGAGATGGCAGTGAGTCCCCACGGGTATCCAGTAATAACAACAAACACCGACAGAACCGAGCTCCAGGCACGTACAGATTTAAAACCATTTATTTAATTCTTACAGCAAACCTACGAAGTAGGTATATTATCCCCCATTTTATTTTAAGGAGCAAACGAGTGTGTAGTGGTAAAAACCAAAAAAAAAAAAAAACCCACCAAAAAACCAAAACCTGTCCAAGGTCAAATAGTAGGTAAGGGGATGGGACTTCGTCTCAGCTGGCTGGCTCCTGGGTGGAGTCTGTTTAGTGCTTCATGGCTGCAGATGACTTCACCTGTATATGCTCACTTGTTCCGTAAAGTCATTATTTACCGAGTACTTATTCCCAGCTAAGGAGACCTCAGCTCAGACTTGCCTGAGGAAACTTCTACTTGGCCGAGGTAGACTTAAAGTCAGGTGTCTGGGTCTCAGGGCAAGACCCTTAGAGGAGGTGGTTGTGCGTGTGTACAGGGTTTTCAGGGCAATCACTGCTTACGGTATTAAACCCTCTGACTGGGGTTGGGAGAGGGAGGGGGAGAAGATGATGATGATGATGATGATGATTTCATGTATAAGGACTTATGTCTGTGTGGAGATGGGTAGACAAAAGCCCCTGCATGCTCCCTTTGTGACTCCAACCTCCTCCTGCAGGTCTACCACGAGCGGGTGAACACACACGTGGCAGAGGCTGAGTTCGACTACGCGCGCTGTGGCGTCCGGGATGTGTCCAAGACGCTGGTGGGGCTGGAGGGCGCGCCGGCCACGCGGCTGCGCTTCACCAAGTGCTTCAGCTTCGCCAGCGTGGAGGCTGAGAACGCGTACCTGTGCCAGCGCGCGCGCTTCTTTGCCGAGAACGAGGGCTTGGATGACTACATGGAGGCGCGAGAGGGCATGCATCTCAAGAACGTGGACTTTCGCGAGTTCATGGTGGCTTTCCCCGACCCGGCTCGGCCGCCCTGGTACGCCTGCTCGTCGGCCTTCTGGGCCGCAGCCCTGCTCACGCTGTCGTGGCCGCTGCGCGTGTTGGCCGAGTACCGCACGGCGTATGCGCACTACCACGTGGAGAAGCTCTTCGGTCTGGAGGGACCGGGCTCGGCCAGCAGTGCGGGCGGCGGCCTGAGTCCCAGCGACGAGCTGCTGCCCCCGCTCACGCATCGCCTGCCGCGGGTCAACACGGTGGACAGCACCGAGCTCGAGTGGCACATCCGTTCCAATCAGCAGCTGGTACCCAGCTATTCGGAGGTGTTGCTCATGGACCTAGTGGAGCTGGGCTCGCGCTGCGGCGGGTCAGGGGGTGGCTACGTGCCCAGGTGTCGCTACGGAGGGGTTGGTGGCCCGGGCGCGGCGGGAGTGACCCCAAACTGGCGGAGCTGCGAGCACTGTCAGCGAGCGGTCAGCAGCTCGTCCATCTTCTCGCGCAGCGCCCTGAGTATCTGCGCCAGCCCGCGGGCCGCCCAGGGCCCCGGAGCGAGTGCGGGGTGCGGGGGCAGCCGCTTCTCGCTCAGCCGCCTCTACGGCTCCAGGCGCAGCTGCCTGTGGCGCAGCCGGAGCGGGAGTGTCAACGAGGCGAGCTGCCCCACGGAGCAGACGCGTCTGTCGAGCCAGGCCAGCATGCGGGACAACGAGGACGACGACGACGAGGAGGAGGCCGGGCCACCGCCGCCCTACCACGACGCCCTCTGCTTTCCTGTCCTCATCGTCCATCGGCAGGAGGGGTGTCTGGGCCACAGCCACCGGTCACTGCACCGCCATGGCTCCTGCGTGGAGACCTCACTGTGACCTCCTGCCTTTGGAGGGAGCCTGTGCCGGTCTCCTTCCTGCCTCTCCTGGTGTTGTGCTCCCTGTGTGTAGCAGGGGAAGGCAGGATGGTGGCTAAGGCCAGGCAGGGTATGAGGGAAGGCAGGAGGTGAGGGGCACGCTCAGACAAGACCTCAGTGTTCTGAGACTGCTTCCCTGTACACAGACGGGATTGGCAGCTCTCTAAGAATCCCATCCACCGGGGCAGAGGTGGTTCTCTTCCGGTCCCCACCGAGTTACTGCGGGGGACACCTCCTTTTCCATGCACACTCGAGATTTCCCTCCCAGGCGTTCATCAGTCTTGACTGTTAGTATGTTGTGGGACCCGTTTCTGGCCTCCCCACCAAGGGAGCCGTCATGATGGGCAGCAAGAAAGGCATTTGAAGCTTTTTTTTTTTTGCCCCGCCCTCCCCGTGAAGAGAGAGGGGCGGTGGTTTGGTGAAGAGCAGCAGAGTTGGCTCCCAACCAGCTATTGTGTTCACCGGGTCTGAGGGTGGCGCCAGGTGGCACCCCAGTATTCCTCTCCACACCTCTCAGGCGTTGCCGCCGCTGGGAAAGCTCGCGGTTCCCCTCTGCCATACCGATCACTGTTGTTTGTTTCACTGAGCCCCAGAGGTCCGGTCTGGAGGGACTTTTCATCATACCAATGACGTCACTCACCTCGGGGCTTACTGGCTCTGAAGGGCTGTTTTCAGGGTGCAGGGCGAGGGAAGGGAGGCTGAGAGGGCACGGCAGGCCCTTTCTGGAAAAGACTCAGCCTCACATCCATCAGCTGCTTCCTCCCCCTGGGTTCTGGGTAGGTGCTTCCATAAAGGAGGCTGAGGTGCCGTCTTGGAGGTCCTCATTAAAGTCGGCCAGGGTGAGTGACCAAGTGGACAGAGCTTGAGACACACCTTGATATGAGACCTCAGGAGCAGAGTTGGTAATGGTGGGCAGACTGGAACCAGCCCTGAAGATGTAGCCACAGGCGTGCTGTAGCTTCCCCCCCCCCCCCCGCGCAGACGCTTTAAGAAGAAGGATGCCCCTCACACAGGCCTCCGTAGAGCCGAGTCCATCCCAAGCCCTAGAGAGATACTCATTTCCGGTGGCAGGAGTTCCGTTCTCGCCAGACCCTCCACTTCTTCCTATCCTGTGAGTTGAAGCTCTAGGTCTTCAGAGGGGCGCCATGCCACAGCCCCGGGGCACAAGCCCTTTGTCCTGTCCCTTTAAAGCCTTGACATCAACTTTGCTCTCCCACTCCCTATGCCCCCTCCACCCCAGTGTGCTTCATTGTGCATGTCTGTGTTTGGCCCCTTGCTCTCCCAGCTGCCCTGGCTGACGTTTTCCCAGCAGACTTAGTACCCAGGGATTGGGCACACATCCATTCAAATCTTCCTCCCTCTGCTTCTTGCTTTGCCTTCACCATCCCAACTCCATCTTTTTGGCTTCCCCTCTTCTTCCCGGCTGTGCCAGTCCTATGCCAACCAAAGGGAGTGGCCCCTACCTATGCAAAATCTCCTCTGGCTCCCCTTCCCCTTTTCCCTGGGGGATGTGGGAAGCCCTGTTGTGGGGATGCCACCGTCTAAGGCTCAAACGGTTACACAGAGATGATTGAGGAGGGAGGGGTGTCAGAGAGGGATAGGTATGGGCAGAAGGGATCAATCAGCACAGCAGCCCGCTGGGTTTCCTGGACAACAGTGTCCACTGGCCTGCTAGCACTGAACCCTCCAGGACCCTGAGTTTGATCTCCGTGTGTGCATGTGTGTGTGCGTGCGCCTGTGCGTGTACTATTGGGAGCACAGGTACTGAGTGAGCTGTGGCCTCAGGCCTCAGTTCTTGGCCAGCTGGCGTCTGAATGTCTTGTTCTCATTTAGGGGCAGCTTGGCCCTCTCACAGCTCCAAGGAGGGAAGAGCTTGGCTCATCCTCCTTCATTCTGGGTCCAGAAACCGAGCTTGGCCTTGGGAGAGGAGGAGGGGAAGCCCTGTTATTTTTTTTTGCCTGACCATTTCTGCCTAGGTCTCCTCACCCAGACAGCCTCACCTCCCACACACACGCACAGACTTAGAGAGAAAGCAATTCTTTGGTCTCTTTTCTTGGTAGCTTTATTGATTGCCAGGGAAAATGAAAACCAGAAAATTAATTAATCTCTAAAATTAAACTTTACACTGAATGTTCTTGTTTCTCTAATTAGAACCTCTGCTAGCAGCTGTGGATACACACACACACACACACACACACACACACACACACAGAGAGAGAGCTACAGACACACACACACCCTCGCACCTACATGTTTGCACTCTGGAACTGTCAGAGGGTGTCAGGTACAGAGGACTCTAGGTTGCCCGGACAGGCACACACATAGTCGCTCCCAAGCCCCCTCTGGTGCTCTGCTCAGCACCTGCTTGTTGCAAAGAGTCCCTGAAGTGCAGGCCCCTTGCAGCTGCAGTCACCCATCTTTGAGATAGATGGGCTCTGGGCCACTCAGCTCAAGGAGAGTTGGGAGATGAATTAGTCAGTCAGATCCTCTCGTGAATCCATAGTTTTCGATTCCTATGGGTGTAGCCCCAGGGTGGGCAGTCACAACATGGAAGGGACTCAAGGAGAGGGTACCTGGAAGACTGTATGTCCTGAGGGTAAGGGCTTGTGGGGTGGGCTAGGCCTGGCTCGGGAGAAGACAGGTCTCTGTCACATTGGGTGCATCACACTGTGGCCTTTTTGTCATGGAATTCCAAGCGCAAAGATTGTACAAATCACACTGATGGATAATAAAAGTGTGGATGACTCACTGGTCCGCTCCCTCCGAGTGACGCTTGTTCCCCGCCCTTCTGTCACATGCTATCCATTCCCAGCTCGAGGGTTAGTGAGGGCGCGATCTGCACAAGCGGACTATGCCTGAGGCCTGACAGGCAGGTAGCATCTCCAGGGAGGGTGAAAGGGTAGAGGAAGACAGGCATAGCTTTGCTCTGTGTGTGTGTCTCTGTGTGTATATGTGTGTGTGTGTGTGTGTGCATGTGTGTGTGTGTGTGTGTGTGCTCACGCATGGTGTGTGTGTAAAGACTGAGATCAGGGCTCAACTATCTGCTTAGTAGAAAGGGGAAGGGGTGGGGCGAGTCAAGAGGTAGATGGTTCTCATGAAGAGTTTGAGCAGGGATTGTCATTTCAGAGTCCTTTGCCTTCCCTGTTCCCTTTATGGGAAGGAACAAGGAAGTCTAGCAATGGCCATTTTCTAGGTGGGAGTTACTACCATCATTTCATCCTTAGGCGCCCCTTCTGCGTCTCAGCATCTTCACATATACAAATCTGGCCACTCATTCCAAGGGGATTCGTGATCCCCTCTTCTCGGATTCCACAGAACCAGGGGCAGGCATATCAAGGGTATGAAATGAAGGTGTGGCTGCCGGGGTGGCCCAGCCGATCACCGCTCTATCCTGGTTCCACATCTTAGCCTACAGAATTCTCAGTACAGTTGTTAGTGGGCGAGGAGAAGTGGCCAGGATTCAGGGACCGCAGGCGGGCAGCCTCTCTGTTGGTATGCAGAATCTGGCCAATGAGGTACTCACTCTCCTGGGATACATCTGACAGTCGCAGGTCGAACTCCAGAATGGTCTTGTTGTCTGACATGCCTTCCAGGAGCTGCTTCCCACCATCCTGGGGAGGAGTGAGACAGAGGGGTCATTTCGTATCACATCCCAGGGTCACATGAACAGACTTCTATACAGATGGGATAGCTTTTGCAATGCCACATGTAACCTATCTGGGGCATGGACAAAAATTCCAATTCTACTTGAAAAATTGTGATTGTGGCAGACTAAGGTGATGGCTCAACCTAAGTGTTTTTGAAAAAAACGTGGATTCATGGCAGTGATGTGGTTCCGTTCCTCCTTCACTTCAGTCCTGTGGACCCGAGACTAGTTGGTCTAGTGAGATGTGAGGGGAAGTTTGGAGGGGCTGGAAGAAGGAAAGACAAGTATGGCTACAATCCCAGCAGCCAGGAGGTGGAGGAAGACGGATCTTGGAGTTTGAGGTCAGCTTGGTCTACATAGTGAGTTCTAGGACAGCCAGGGCTACATGGTGAGACCTTGTTTCAATCAATCAATCAATCAATCAATCAATCAATCAGTCAGTCCATCCATCTACCCATCCATCCATCCATCCATCCATCCATCCATCCATCCATCCATCCATCCATTGTACTTTCCCTCCCAGAAACTAAGAGCTAAAGGAAAAAGAGGAGCCTGGGGTGACCCTGAGGAAAGCGTTGTGCACAGGCATGAGGACCAGAATTATCTCCAGAACCCATGGGAATGCTGGGAAGGTAGAGCGGCCCATTTATAACTCTGGGGATGGGGAAAATAGAGGATCTCCAGGGCAAGCTGGCTGGCTAGGTCATTCATTTCAGAGGGTGCCTCCAGGTTTGACTGAGAGATCCTGCCCTCAGCAAATAAGGGGGAGGGGAGAGCCATTGAGGATGATCGCAGACATCAACTTCAGGTCTCCACATGCATGCACACATGTGTACACACTCATACAGGTACACCCTCACACACGCGTGTGTGTAGCACAGACACGAAAAATGAAAGGAAAGGGATTGGGCCCTGGAGGGCGCACAGGAGAAGAAAACACGCTCTCCGTGCACTACACCACACAGTCTACTCCTAACACATTTTTGCCCCACAAAGGGTCTGTGATAGTTGGATTCCACCCCAGGCCCACCCGCCCCAGAAGCCATGACTCACGGTTCCAATGTGGTTGCAGGAGAGGTTGAGGCTAATGAGCGTCGTGTTGACGGGGAGCACCTGGGAGAGGAGCGTGGCTGTGGGCTCAGACAGTTCATTGCCACCGAGGTGCAGCATAGTGAGGCACTTGTTGGTCTCCAGGGCGTGGGCGATTGCTTGGCCACCCTCGTCCTCGATACAGTTGAGGCGAAGGTTGAGGGAGACGAGGTTGGTGTTGTGTGCCAGCGCATGCGCCAGCGACTGTGCACCGGACGCTCGCAGTTGGTTGTTGGCCAGGTTGAGCACTCTCAGGCGACTGTGGCTCAGCAGCTTGGCCGCCGCTCGTGCACCGCGGTCTCCAATGAGGTTGTGGGATAAGTCCAGCTCCTCGAGGGCTGGGTGGTCCAGCAGGCTACGGATTAGGATGCGCGCCTTATCGTCGTCCACCTTACTTCGGGTCAGCCTGAAGATCTGCGGGCAGGTAGGAGTTTTACAGCACCTGCCAGTCTGGGATAGCCTGTACTACCTAACTGCCTTGTGCTAGTAGAGAAGGAAGATATAAAGTGGCTGGAGGCTCAACACCTAGTGTTAGCCATCTGCCTTGGCTTTCAGGTGGGAGATGGGCTCACCCAGTGAGGCGGAATTGCTGGCGGGTGGCAGGGGCGGGGGCTATCACCATGCCCAGCTCAACCTTAGTTTTCTCAATTCTTTTGACAGAGAGAAACTGACAGTGGAGAAATTCACCTACGTCATCGTCACTGGCTGGTACACACAGAACCTTCCAGTACGGTGTGCCAATTCAACTGTGTTTCTCTGAATGACAAACTCTCTCATAATCTGTGACAATGTCAGCCTTTCCAATTTCCAGTCCACTCACATGCCAGGGTGGGTACCTACGAGCCCCTTTCTACTGATGGCCGCCCTTCTGTTCTATATTTTTTTTTCCTGGCCGCTAAATAGGCCACTCCACTGTTTTCATGATACCAACACAGATCTCCACAGCTATCCATCACACGCCAACTACCCCGCTTCAGGTCTCAGCCCCAGCAAGCACTGACCCTGGTCCCTGAGCCTCTCTCCTCTGTATAATCGATGATTTTCTTGTGGACCAATTCAGCTTGAAATCTGTGCCATTTCCTCTTCAGAGACCCAGAAGCCCTCTTCTGTTCCAGCTCTGCTCCCCACTTTGCAGCCAAGCTCTTGACAAAACTGATCACCCCCCCCCTTTTCCTCACTTCCCACTCTCTCCATATCCACAGCTGCCCAGCTTCTGTTTCTGGTACCTACTGAAGTACCCCACCCCCAGGAACCTCCCAGGCCCCTAAGCCAGTCCTGGGTTCCATCTTACCCTGTGGCTCACTCTCTCTATTTGAAACCTGCCCCATCTGGGATCTGTGGCACAGTGCCATGTCTTCTCCCCTGTTCTCTTTCCTGGCAAGCTCTTCCTCCTCCAGCACAGGTCAAGCTTCTTTTTGCCTCCCTTTATATCTTCCCTCTAAGACTCCATCCAAATGCAAGGCCACACTCGAGAAGACATAGTTCTCAAAGCTCAACATAGTCTCCTCCCTGCATCAGACCCTCCCAAGCCGTGGAGAGGACCCCTGCTCTGGGACACCTCAAGCTGGAACTCACGCTTTCCCCTTCAAAACAGTTCCCCTCCTCCCCCTCTTCCATTTCCTGACTGCCAAGGATTCCTACAGCATCTGGTCTCGTGAGAAGGGGCCTCGGCACCTCTGCCTCTTCCTTCCTGTTTCCATCCTCCTTACGTCACAGTGGCAGGTGACCCTACTGTGTTTCTCTCCAGATTCTCTGCCTCATCCATTTTTGCAGATACGGATGTGGTTCTGACCACCCTCATAGTGCTTGTTTGTTTGTTTGTCTTGGTAGTGAGGAGGATGGGGACACAGCTGAGAAGAGGGGCTCACTTGAGAAACGAGATCGGATGGACTGGGAGCGTGCCCGTGCGGGACTGTGTTGATTGTTCATTGATGTAGGAAGGCCTAGCCCACTGTGAGCAGCGCTATCCCTAGGCAGATGGTCTTGAATTGTATGATAAAACTAGTTAAGGGGCTGGAGAGAGAACTCAGTGGAGGTTAGCCTGTACAGCTCTTGAGGTACAGGAGTTCAGTTTCTAGTACCCCTATCAGGTAGCGCACGGCAGCCAATAACTCCGGGGAGCCTGACACACTCTATTGGTCTCAGTGGGCACCTTAACTCATGAGGATGTACCCTCCTGTATGTATAGTTTATAATAATAAAAATAAATCTAAAGAAAGAAAGAGAAAGAAAGCCAGCTGAGTAAAAGCCGTCTATGGGCCAGCTAGCAAACAACATTGCTCCGTAACTCCATGCTGGACGTTTTTGGCTGTGACATGAGTTCCTTGGTTGACGACAAAGCTGTGTGGGATAATGAGCAGGCTTGCCTTCGAGTTCCTGCCTTGAATGCCTTCACGAATGGAATGGACTGTGGCCTGGAAGTGTGAGCCAAACAACCCCCTTTTCTCTTCTATGTTGTTTCGGTCAGAGTGTTTTATCACAGCAACAGAAAGGACACGGGAACACTAGCTTCCTGTGCTAAAGCTTGGCCCCCTCTGTGAACCTGAGAGGCGGGGGCCCTGGTGGAACGCGGCTGGGCCGCTAGGGACACCGCCCTTGGAACAGTCTGGCGAGGCTCTCCTGGGACCCAAGTCAGTTCTTGCAAGAGGGGTCTGCTTGCTCTCTTCTGCGCATGCCCCTTCCTTCCTGCTTTTTTGCTAGTCCTGGCTCTGTGAGTCCCTCCAGCCACAGGAACTAAGGCAACTCTGCTTCTCCTGCTCCCTCCCTCCCTCCCTCCCTCCCTCCCTCATGTTTTCTCTCTCTTTAGAAAAGATCCTTCGGTATGCCGTGCACATGCACCTTTGTGTGGGTGTGTGGGAGGCTAGAAGAGGTCAGATCCCCTGGGGCTGGAGTTGATGTAGGTGCTGGGAACTGAATTAGTGTTCTGTGCAAGAACAGTCAGTATGTGATCCTAACCACTAAACCACCTTTTTCCTTTCTCTGGAAAAAGTGTTTCCTGTAGCCCAGGCTGGCCTCCAGCTCACCATGTACTAAGACATGGTCCTGACCATTCAATGCCCCTGCCTCCAACTCCAGACATGTAACATGTAACTCCTTTTTGTTCATTCTTTTTTTCCTTTCTTTTTCTTCTTTCTTTCTTTCTTTTCTTTTTTTTTTTTTTTTTGGTTTTGGTTTTTCGAGACAGGGTTTCTCTGTGTAGCCCTGGCTGTCCTGGAACTCACTCTGTAGACCAGGCTGGCCTCGAACTCAGAAATCTGTCTGCCTCTGCCTCCCAAGTGCTGGGGTTAAAGGCATGCGCCACCACTGCCCGGCTTCTTTTCTTTTTCTTTTTTCTTTCTTTTTCTTCCTTCTTTCTCTTCTTTCTTCTCTTTCTCTCTTTCTCTCTTTCTCTCTTTCTCTCTTTCTCTCTCTTTCTCTCTTTCTCTCTTTCTCTCTTTCTCTCTTTCTCTCTTTCTCTCTTTCTCTCTTTCTCTCTTTCTCTCTTTCTTTCTTTCTTTCTTTCTTTCTTTCTTTCTTTCTTTCTTTCTTTCTTTCTTTCTTTCTTTCTTTCTTTCTTTCGTTGATTTACCTGTCTTGGTGCTGGGAACTGAATCCGTGTGCTTCAGTATCTTGTTTTGTTGCTGTGACAAAATACTTGACAGATTCGAGTTAAGGAAGGGGGAGGTGCTTTGGCTTACAGTTTTGAGGGCACGGTTCATCGGTTCATCGCGGCGAGGGAGCAGTGTCAAGCTGCCAGGCTCAGTGAAGAGAGAGGAAAGAAATGCTGTGTCCTCCGTTCACCGGTTTTGCAGTCAGCCAACAGACTGACAGCGTCGGGCCCTGTCCCAGGTGCTGAAGATGAAGGGGGAGAAGAAGGAAAAAAAAAAAGCAAAATCACGCCTTTTGAGCCCCGTGGCGCGAGCAGTCTGACGGGATGAAAGGCACTAATGAGCAACCATGGAGATGTGAAATTGCAGCTAGGCAGCGGCTGCCAGCTTTCACAAATAGAAACACGAAACGTCCAGTTAAATTTGAATTTCAGATAAAAACCTCAGTGTTTGGATGCATAGCCCAAATATTCCATGGGGCATACTTGTCTGAAATTTTTCAATGTAACCAGTGTGAGGGTTAACATTGCCAACTTGACAAGCTCTAGAATAGCCTAGGGGTGAGTCTCTGGGTGTGTCTTTGGGGGATTATCTAGTTCAATAGCTAGCTAAATTATCTAACTAAACCTTTCTTCCCCCTTGAGACAAGATTTCTCTGTGGAGCTCTGGCTGTCCTGAAGCTTACTCTGTAGACCAGGCTGGCCTTGAACTCAGAGTCTCTGCTTCCTGAGTGCTAGAATTGAAGGTGTGCCACCACTGCCAGGTTTATCTAGTTAAACTTTCATTTTATTTTATTTTATTTTATTTTATTTATTTATTTATTTATTTTTGGTTTTTTGAGACGGGGTTTCTCTGTACAGCTCTGGCTGTCCTGGAACTCACTCTGTAGACCAGACTGGCCTCGAACTCAGAAATCCGCCTGCCTCTGCCTCCCAAGTGCTGGGATTAAAGGCATGCACCACCACTGCCCGGCTATCTAGTTAAACTGTGTGTGTGTGTGTGTGTGTGTGTGTGTGTGCGTGTGTGTGTTGCGGGGGTCCTGACTGGGTAAAAAGAAGGAAGATGAGTGAATGCCACCATTCCATGTTCTCTGCTACCAGCTCCTCAAACTCCTGCCACCGTGGCTCCCCGAAATGGCGAACCATGCACTGAAAACTGAAGCCAAATAACCTCCACCTCCCTCAGTTGCTTCGGTCAGGGATTTTAATCACAGCAGGAAGACAAGTTAAGTGATACACTAGATCTGCTTTTTAGCTCTTCCCAGTGGCAGGGGCCAGACCCACAGCCTCACACATGCTACAGACACTCTGCTTCCGAGCTGCACCCTAGGCCTGGGCGTTTTTTCATTTGAATCAATCCTCAGTATCACTTAGACTGGGTGTAGTGGGGTATGAATGAGATCCCAGCACGTGGTCGTGTTTGTGTGAGTAAAGTGGAAACAGGAGATCAGAAACTCAAGGTCATTTCCAGCTACCCATAGAGTTCCAGGCCTGCCTAAGATATATGAGACTCTGCCTCAACAAAGTCTGAAAAAAAAAACACCCCAAATCTCCGAGTATCTAAGCAATCCCCTCCTCTGCTGATGAATGCAAAGGAAATGAGAGAAGATGGTGGAAGGAGAGGAAGAGGCAGGGAGAAGCAATCCCAGAGACGACGAGAAAGGAGGCAGGCGAGTTGGGTTTGTGTGTGGTACCTTGAGGGTGTGGCAAGCTTTGATGGTGGCTGCCAGAGAGTGGCAGTCTCGGTAGGTGAAGAGAAAGAGGTTCCACTCAAAATTCATGCCGCAGTCTTTGACGCCGTACACCAGGTCCAGCTCCTCCAGGTGCTTGAGGCCAGCCACTAGAGCCTGCAGCTGGAAGTGGTCCTTCTCAGGCTCGTTCCCCTCGCCCTCACTGCCGGAGTCTGACTGTTCCTCTCCTTGAGGTGGGGTCGGCATCCGCACAGGTGGGAGGAACTGGTCCACGTGGATGCGGCGCACGTAGTTCCTGCAGAGGGGCAGCAGGTCCAGAATCACGTTGGGGTCCGTGGTCCCCGGGATGAATAGCTTCAGCAGGCTCTCCAGGTGTCTCTCGAAGAACATCCGCTTCCAGCTGCCGCCGTGCATGGACACGTGACACACGGACCAGCGCTTGATGCAGCAGCGGTGCCAATAATTCTCATCGTCAATCAAGTTAGCGGTCACCGTCAAAGGCAGCTCAGGGGGCAGGTTGCTCAAGACCTTCTTTTGGTGCTCTAGGGGCAGCTGCTTCAGGATAGGGTTGTCTTTGGGAAGGGAGGAAGGAAAACAGGGTTCAGACACCGTGCCGGGAACATCACAACACAGAACCCTGGGAACTTGGGGTCTTGGAAGACCCTTTGTGGCCTTGGGAACTTTGCTTGGAGAGGAGAAACGGTCTCCTAAAGAGAGACTCTTTGGGGTGCTCTTGCCTGCAACAAACTGGCAATTGCACTGGGCAGTATCTGGTCTCAAGCTGACCCTCCTGGAGCAGAATGGACCAGTTCTCAATGTACCATCTAGTCTGACTTCTGAGACTCCCAGCCAGACTTTACGCATTCATTTCAGAATAACTATATGTATTTTAACACCTACTATGTGGCAGATGTGGCTGGGGGAAAAATGAAGAAAATACGGGGCCAGAAAGATGGATCAAGGTGTAAAAAAATTGCATACTGAGCAGAACTGGTGGCCTGAACCCCACCCTGAACTCATGCAGAGGTGGGAAGAGGGAGAGGTGGGAGGAGGGAGAGCTGACATCATGAGGTTGTCTTCTGATCTCCATATGTGTACTGTGTTCTGTGGTGAGTACTCCTCCCACCCCCATTACATTCTTAAAATGAAGAAATCAGGCATGGCCCTGGCCTCCTGGAGTTCATCTAAGCTTGCTGGGGCACACAGTCAATAAGCAACAGAGGAACATGCTATGATAGATGGTCCAGTTCTCAGGAAGCCCCTGTCCCATAGAGTAGGAGAGGACAGCTAGTTCTCTTTGCAAGGGGCAAACAGAAGAAACCAGGAAGCCATTTGTATCCCGGAGGACTCTATCAGATGTGGGGTGAGAACCAGGGAGCTTCCTGGAGGAGGAGGAGGAGGAGGAGGAGGAGGAGGAGGAGGAGGAGGATGTGACTAAGGCTCAGCTTACTGGAGAGAGCAGACATGAGCAGAGAAGGGCAAAATCATGGAGGGCGCAATGTGTGTGTATGTGCATCTGTTTGTGTGCATGTGCATGTGTCTCTGTGTGTATGTGTGTGCTTGTGCATGCATGCCTGTGTGTGTCCGTGCAGGTGCGTGCTTGAGTGTGTGTGTGTTTGTGCGTGCGTGTGTGTGCATGCACATATGTCTATGTGTGTGTTTGTGTGTGCATGCCTGTGTGTGTCTGTGCGAGTGTGTGCTTGAGTGTGTGCGTGCGTGTGTGTGCATGCATGCACATATGTCTGTGTGTGTGTGTGTGCGCGCGTGTGTGTGATGTGTGTGTGTGTGATGTGTGTGTGTGTGTATGTGTCTGTGTGCGTGTGTGTGCATGCATGCACATATGTCTGTGTGTGTGTTTGTGTGTGCACGCCTGTGTGTGTCCAGGCCTGGGCATGGTGGTCCCCACCTCCTCTGGGCCAGATCCCAGACTCACTCTGGAAGTTCTTGACGATATGTTGGATGCAGAGCTCTGTAAGCAGAGGCACGATAGCCAACGACCACTCTGCGTCCTCAGAGATGATTCTGCGCATGCGTCGGACGTTGGTGACCTTGGTCTTCAGCTGGCCTGGGGCGGGGGTGGTGCTAGTTTTCAAGGACGTGGGTCCTGGAATGCTACCACCCAAAGCGGAGACCTGGCGCTGGATGTTGAAAACAGACTGGCTGTGAGACGAATGTTCGGACGGTACTGTCGAGGTGTCCTGCATGTTGACTGCCGGCAGAGAGACAAGGGTATGAACCTTGGCGACCTTGCAACAGGAAACTTCTTAACGCAGGCAGGGTGCAGGATGGGGGGCCGGTGAAGGAGCTTGAGCTGGAGGAAAGGGACAGTGTTAATTGGGAGGATTTAAGTGGTGCTTAGGGATCAGTCTCTGGTGGGGAGTAGACCCAGATGAGAATCTCAAAGACTGGCTGTGTGGCTTTGGGCAAGTGACTAAACGTCTCTGAATCTCAGATGATGCCTGTGAAGTAAAGGGGGTAGCTACCAACAGGATTATTAGAGGAGTTGATAACAATGTATTCAAAGGGCCACAGTGTGCACAAGGAACAGCCCCAAAGTTTAGACGATAGCGGTTCAGGAATTACAATCATTGCTACACACCAGGTATTCATTTTGGATATTATCTCATTTGTCTTTAAGGAAAAAAAAAGCCTTTGGGGACAAGAGCTCATTTTTGTCTTTGTTTTTCTTTGAAGGGAAATGAAGTTCAGAGAGGTCACCGACTTGCCCACTGTTGCACAGCTAACACTGAATGAGAAGGATCTTATTTTTTAAAGATTGTGTGTGTGTGTGTGTGTGTGTGTGTGCACAGAGGCCAGAAGAGGGTATTTGGATTTCCCCGGGGCTGAAGTTACAAGCAGTTGTGAGAGGCCTGACATGGGTGCTGGGAACTGGATTCAGTCCCTCAGCGAGGACAGAACACTAAGTGCTTATAACCTCTGAGCCATCTTTCCAGCCATCCATTAAAGTGCATTTAAACTCAGTTTCTCAAGTCATATTCGGGAATACCCCCTCTAAGGGAGAGAGAGAGCTGTTGTGAACAACTATTTAACTCAAAAGCTCCCTGCTCCCAGGGGATCCTGACGGTGTGGCTGAGGACACAACAGAGCAGGCGGCAGACTTACACGCTATTTTAATTTCTCTTTATAGTTATTAATTCTGAGACAAGTTCTCGGGTATCTCAGGCTGGCTCCCAAGTTGCTGTGACCTTGAAGTGGTGAGCCTCCTGTCTGTATGTCCTGAGCACTGGGGTTACAGTTATGTTTCACCTCAACCAGTGAACCCGGGGTTTCATGCTCCTGTCAGCTTTCCTGGCCTCCAAGGGTACTTCATGAATATGGGGCACCACCAACAAGCAGGGCATCAACAACAAGCAGGGCTACACAGAGAAACCCCACTCGAAAAACAAAACAAAAACGGGAGGACTGGAGAGATGGCTCAGTGGTTGAGAGCCGCTGACTGCTCTTCCGGGGATCTTGAGTTCAATGCCCAGCAACTGCATGGTGGCTCAAAACCATCTGTAACGGGATCCGATGCCCTCTTCTGGTGTGTGTCTGACAGCTACAGTGTACTTATATACATAAAATAAATAAATACTAAAGCAAACAAACAAATGGTAAAAAAAAAAAAATCATTTTCTGTGTAGCTCTGGCTGTCCTGGCATTCACTCTGTAGACCAGGTTGGCCTTGAACTCAGAAATCCACCTGACTCTGCCTCCTGAGCTCTGGAATCAAAGGTGTGCACCACCGGTGCCAAGCAAACCAATCAATCAATAAATAAATGGGGAAAAAGAGGCTTAAGTAGAGCTGGGAGTGTAGCTCATTGGCCAAGCTCTGCCTAGCTCTCCTAGCTAAAAACAAAACAAAACGAAATCCCAAACAAACAAAACCCCACAGGAAAACTAAAATGAGTGGAATAACAAAATCCTGAAACCGGTTTGAGGCCAGTCTGGTCTACAAAGTGAGTTCCAGGACAGCCAGGGCTATACAGAGAAACCCTGTCTCTCTTAAAAAAAAAAAAAAAAAGATCAAAACCATAAAACAGATGAAATACTTAATCCAGCGTGCCCAAACACTACTGTTGAAATGTGTAATCTGCATAGAGATTTTAAAAATTAAAGCCCAAGACAATAAAAACCAAAAGAGCTGACACAATTAATGCACTGTACTCAGGATACTGTCACTGAAATGTGTGATCCATATTGTTTATCTTTATATTTCGAGTTATCACGTATGCGTACATATGTACACCCTGCATATGAAGGTGTGAGCGCAAGTGGAGCCAGAAGAGCCAGATCCCTCGGAGTTGGAGTGAGGGTAAGAGTGAGGCACCAGATTTGGGCGCAGTGAACGGGACACGGGTCCTCTGGAAGAGGCACTCTTAGCTGTTGAGTCACCTCGGCAAACCTCTGCGTAAAGGCGTTGAATAGAAGAATAAGTACGTTCAATGTCAAGTCTGCTCCCGTGGCCTCCATCAGGGCGTGCGCAGTTGGGAGGGACCAGACACAGCCTCCTGACCAGAGTGCGAAAGCCTCTCCTCTCTTCAGTCCCACCTGGCTCCCACTTGAAGTCTCCCCTCATACCAGACGGTGGCGGGCAGGCGTGGGAGGTGAGAAGGCAGCTAAATATGGGGCTGAAGACTGAGGATGCTGTCTGGGTCTGGGGGACCTTCTGCACGTGGCCACCTCTTTGCCCTCCTATTGCAGGCACGGCACGCTGCCGGTGACCTGAATAGGGGTGCCTGGGCCCTCTGCCTGTAGCTGGGCAGCTTCCCTTTGTGCTACTCTGTGGTGTGGCCAGTGAGAAGGAGCGCCCTGCTCCAGCAACCGCATCCTGGCAGAGGGAGGAACCAGATGGTACTTCCTAGCCTGCCAGGCAGCTCAAGGAGGAGAAGCCTTGGGGGGTGGGGGGACTGTTGGCAAGATATTTATGTGTCACCCTGTATGCAAATCAAATGCAAATTCACAGACCCTGTCCGTCTTTAACTAGGTAATGCTTTTAATCGCAGCACACGGAAGGCAGAGGCAGGTGGATCTCTATGAGTTTGAGGCCAGTCTGGTCTATATGGTGAGTTCAGGAGAGTACCGTTTAGATAGAGGCACCAGCTGGTTTTGCATTTCTGGCTTGCTGGATGATCTTAGGCAAGTTGCATTACTTCTCCGGACTTCGACTTCCTCCCTTCCCTTATCTGTAAAATGGGACAATAATGTCTTTCCTACATAGGCAACTGTCTAGAGAGCTGAGAGGTGTCTTCAAGCAAATGCCAGGTTCCTAGGACTTGTCCCTGTCTTTATAGGAGAGGGGAAGGGCAAGGGGTCAGTGGCGACATGAGGATCTGGAGAATTGGTTCGAGGCTACCTGGCCCACTAGCCTGGGGTGTGACTCTGCTCCATTTTCCTAGGGACCTTCATCCCAGCTGGGGCCAGTTGTGAGCCCCTTTGTGCTGCTCACTGTCTTTTTTGGTACCGGGCAGTTCTTCCTAAGGTCTAGTTCTAGTTGTTTTTGCTGTTGCTTTGTAGTCTGTCTCTGGCAGAGATCACAGAGCCGCCATCCATGGCCCTAAGAAATCTCACAAGAGGAAGGGGTCGTCTCCCCATTCCCCATGGCTGCCACGGGTACAGCTGACACAACAAGAGCTGCCAGCCTTCCATGTTTACAGAAACACCCGTATCCTTGGTCTGATGCCTCTCGGTTTTGGTTTTTGTCTTTTGTTTTGAGACAGAGTCTTACTTTGTAGCTCTGGCTGCCTTGGGACTCACTATGTGAAACTGGGCTAGCCTTGAACTCACAGAGCTCTGCCTGCCTTTGCCTCCTTGGGTGCTGGGATTAAAGTCATCTGCCATACCTGGCCTGACATCATTTTAAGGCAAATATCGAGAGCAATTACATCATAAGGTCAGAGTTGGCCATTTTCATATACTCTATTATGAAATATACATTTCATATATATATATATATATGGTATGAAGATTAAACCCAGGGTCTTGCAGATGACAGCCAAACAGACATTCTACCACTGAGCCACACTCTATCTCACTCTATTTTTATTCATTTTTTAAGAAAAAACTTATTTATTTTATGTATATGAGTGCTCTATCTGCATGTACACCTGTGTGCCAGAAGAGGGCGTCAGATCCTGTTACAGATGGGTGTGGGCTACCATGTAGTTGCTGGGACTTGAACTCATGACCTCTGGAAGAGCGGCGCTCTGAATAGCTGAGCCATCTCTCCAGACCTTTATTTTTCATTCTTGAGCTCGCTCTGTAGCTGAGAGAGACTGTGACCTTCCAATCTCCCTGTAGTAGCCTCCTCAGCAGCTGGAATACAAGCTTGCACTACCAGGCTTGGCTCAAAAGACATTTTTTGACAGGAAAATTATTACTAGGCACAGTTGGGCCTGGTGACACAGACCTGTAATCCTAGCTACAAGGAGTTTGAGGTACAAAGACTGAAGGTTCAAGATCTGCCTGGGCAACTTAGTAAGACTTTGTTTTGTCTTCTCTCTCTCTTTCTCTCTCTCTTTCTTCTCCTTCTCTTCCTTTTCCTCCTCCTCTTCTTCCTTCTCCTCCTCCTTTTTTTTTCTCTTCAAAATAGGATTTCTCAGGGTAGCCCTGGCTATCCGGGCACTCACTCTGTAGACTAGGCTGGCCTTAGAATCAGAGATCTGCCTGCATCCCAGAGTGTTGGTATTAAAGGTGTGCACTGCCACTGCCTGGCTAAGACTCTGCCTTTTTATTTCTCAAAATAAAAAATACAAAGAGGATTGGGCATACATAGTTTTTAGTGGTAGAACACTTGTCTAACATGCAGGAAGCCATAGGAGCAAACCTTAGTACTGCCAAAAATAGGAAATTAAATAACAACCAGAGGTTATCTATAGAGATTCCAGTTCCATGTGTTTTTCAAACGTCTATTTTTTGAGGGGTGGGGGTGTCATGCAGCTGAGAATATCTGCCTGGCGTTTTGGAAGCCCTGGGTTTGATCCTGTGTATCCTGGTGCACATCTGTAATCTCAGCAGTTGGGAGGTAGAGGCAGGAGGATCAAAATTCAGGGCTATCCTTTGCTACATAGTGAATTTGAGGCAGCAGGGGCTACATCTTAAACAAATCACCAACAAGAAAATGTGTTTTGAGGAACTAATGTATGAAGGGTGGAGAGACGCCTCAGCTGTTGAGGGTACCAGCGGCTCTTGAAGAGGGCTGCATTCAGTTCCCGGTACCCACAGCAGGCAGCTTGGAACCAACTTCCAGCCCCAGGGAGATCCGACACATTTAGCTTCGGAGGGTACCAGTTCACTCAAGTGCACATACCCACGCAAAGATGCACAATTGAAATAAAATATAAAAGAAAAGAAAAAAACTCTACCGATAATACATTGAAGTACACTTAGTAGGAAAGTGAGTTAAGTGAATTTCTTGCATCTGTTACTTCTGACTCTCCTCTGCCCTCTCTTGCCACTTTTTAAAAAAGTTTTTTAATTTTATGTATGTGAGTGTTTGCCTGAATGTATGTGTGGATACCACATACATGCCTGGTGCCAGAAAAAGCCAGAAGAAGACACCGAATCCTTTGCAACTGGAGTTACAGGCAGTTGTGTCCTGGGAACGAAATCCAGGTCCTTTAGAAGAGCAGCCAGTGCTCTGCTCCCCTCACGCCCAGGTTCTGCCCACCTTGCTTCTGTTATTGGACCCAGTTCTCCACTCTGAGTTTTACACTCAGGTCCTGAGGCTTCTGTCCAACTCCCTCAGATTCAATCTGCAGCTTCTCCTGCAGGTCACACAGGCGCTAACCTGTCCCTTAGTGCTCTCCTTCCTCACTGCTGCCTCAGCCTAGGGACTCTTGTGTCTGTCACACACAGCTCCACTTGGCCCTGGCATCCTGTCTGGTCGTCTCATAGCCAGCCCTGCACAGCCAAGGAAACAGGCCTCTAATAGAAAAACCCTTCAGTGGCTCAGCATTGCCCGAGGGCAACAGCCCTCAGCACCTCAGAGAACAAGGGCCTTCTATTAGGACCGGTGGCTCTCCGAAATAAAGTCTGCTCTTATATCCGGGACATTGCAGACTAGTTTGGTCCTTTGCTGAGGCTATTCCTTAAACTTGGGATGCCTTTCTTACCATCTCCTCCTGGGAAAGAGACAAACATCCATCCACTGACTAGACTAGTTCAATCACATCCTCTCCTGCCCAAACCCCTCTACCCCCCACCCCCCCCAAAAAAAAACCACCTTTGCCAGAGCCCTAGCTCTCCAGGACCCGTGCCACTTCCCCCTGTGCCCAAATCCACAGCAGACAGAGCTCACTGGATCTGCATGCCCAAGCCCAGTGCTAGGTCTGCCTTAGGCAGGTAGCTAGTTTGGGTCTGTCCTATTTGCTTCTAAGAATAGATTCTAAAGAGTATCCTATTGGCTACTGCGACTGATGGGCGTGGTCTTATAATGTCAGCCAATCAGAGACTTTCTTAGGATTGGTCCAAGTAGAGGTTGACGGAAGGAAGGACGGCTGTATGTCCTTGAAGGAGCAGGAGCCTCACTGCTGAGAGTCACTTTCCCTGACTTACACAGAGCCTGTCTGCAGCAGCAGCAGCAGAGAGGGAAACCTAGTGGGGGACCGGAAACCATGAAAGTCAGGGTGACAAAAGCCTGAAGCCCCTGACCTGCAGGGCCTCAGGTCTCAACATGAAGCCTCCTTGTGTGACCACAGGGTGCTGAACATTGCTAGGCTCGCTGGGGAGTGAAATGGAGAATTCCTAAATCAAGGAAGTTAGAAGTTAACCTAGCCTTACATAAAACCCTGTCGAAAGAAAAAAAGGAGAAAGGAAAGAAGGAAGGAAGGAAAGGAGGAAAGGAGGCTACCTCGGTTTGACTGAGGAGAAAGACGAGAGGAACCAGAGTAAAGAGAAAGACAGGCATAGCTGCTTACATCATTTGCTGGTAGGCCTTAGTCTGGCTGGCTATCTCCAGGCTGCTCTGAGGATTCTGCAGGGATGGACAGAAACCTAGATGACCAGATACTCCCGAAGGCCCAGAAGGCCCAGAAGGAAGACAGCTCCAGAAGGGACAGAGCCCAGCTGTTTCTCAACCTGTGGGTCGCGACCCCCAAAGGGTCGCATAGCTGATATCCTCATCCCTGATATTTACAATCCATAGCAGTAGCAAAATTACAGTTATGAAATGGTAATGGAATAACTTTATGCTTTGAGGGTTTACCACAACAAGAGAAAATGTTTTCAAGGGTCGCACCATTAGGAAGGTTGAGACCCACTGATTTTTCAGACTCGTGTTCCTTGAGAGCCTGTGGGGTGGGGAGAGAAATGGAGTTTGTACTACAAAATCCCACTCCTTTTCTCCATGTTGGGAGTTCTCTTTGGCATTCCAGATAAGTTGGCGCCACCAGGAATGCATGTGTCTTGTGCTGCTGTGTGATGTCCCCACTAAGGGCAATCTCTCCCCTTAGAGTGTGGAGGTGGGCGGTGGGTCATGACTTTCATCTTGGGGCCTGTCTCAAGGACCTGAAGGCTTTACAAGGCTGCATCTCTAGCATCAAGTACAGCCAACCCGGACCACTATAGGCAGGGAAAGGCTGTTCTTCCTCTAAGCCCGCCTCCGTGTCCTCGGGACCAGGACAGGGGTGTAAAAACACAGGACACACAGAGTCACAACTTGAAAGGCTGGGAATTTCTGGGCCTTGGTACAAGTAATAAAACGGTGTCCCACTTTGGCCAGGGCTGTCCTCATTTCGGATGGCTTTGCATATGGTGGACAGGTGGTCTGGGATCATGACCTTGGCTCGGTAGAGCTGTGATTTATTGCGTTCCAGTCATGTGATGGCAGATGCCCATGGGGGGGGCAGGCCCTACAGTTGCTAGCTGAGCGCTCAGGCACTGGGCTGTCTCTGGTCACACCCTCCCCCCTCTGCCTGTCACACCTGCAAGACCTTGGGTGAGGGAGTAACCTCAACAGGTTTCAGGGGCATCGCCTGTCAAATGGGGACAGTAATTAATACTACCTTCATCACCTATCATTCACTGTAGATAACTAAGGAGCTCAACTGTGACATTTCACACAGGCTTGGCCTGGAGCTTGCACACAAGTTGTGGAGACTGTGAAGAAGTTAGCAGCCTCACCTATATGAAGCTCACTGAGCCCTCATGTTCATGGTTGACTTTTGTCACTGTAATACCATTGCCCCCGCCTCACAAAAGAGGAAACTGAGACTTAGAAAACCGAAGGGGCTCGCTGTCACCTAGCTGGCACTCGCTGTCACCTAGCTGGCAAGCCAGAGCTGTGCTTAGACTGCTTATCTGCCTGATGGGCTCTCTTGCTTCTCTGAGGTACACCTTTCTCACCTCAGTTCCAGAAAGTTTTCTCCCACCTGTGGGTTCTCTAGTCAGCACTGTGAAGTCTGAGCCTTTACCTACTTTGGAGCCGACCTCAAAAACCCAGCACCCTTATCCGGTGTCACTGCTGGCACCAGATGCTTCCATAAGGCTGGATTGTTGCTGACATCCTTCGGCTTGAGGTCTCTGCAAGGGCCGGAGAGAATCTTGTGGGTTTGCTCTTCTGCCCTGCTCTTGCTAGGTGCTCATGTTACTCACAGACTGGGTCAAGCTTGGATCTCCCTCATGTTTCTTTCCTTTTCATCCTTCCTCAAGCCCCCAGTAAAAGCTGGCCATGTCAGGGAGGTTCCTGCCACTACTCAGAAGGGAAAGCCAAGGAACTTGCCGTGTCGTCCCCTCCACCCCCCACCCAGTGTTCCTCTGAAAGGGTAGCTGTGGTGGTCTGCTGGGGGCTTCAGGGTCTCCATCCACCTCTCTGCCTTTGCTTCTTATGTCAGCCAGCTTCCTACCCATGCTTACCCCAGGCTCCCCTTAAAGAGAGCGCTCCTTGGCCCACAGGTTCCTATTTTCAGAGCCCTGGGCTTCTGTTTACATCTTCCCTGCCCTCTACTGACCAAATTCCTGTTGTGAATTCCTAGTTTGCAGGACTAAAGGAAGGGAGAATTAAAAACAAACACAAAACAAACAAACAAACAAACAAACAAACAAACTGAGTTTTTCTGAGAGCCCAGGTTTGGTCTCTGGCCAGGGGAGATAGCTTGTTCATAGTCCCTGGGCCCTCCCCCTCCCAGCTCCAGCTCCTGTAGTCAGCTGTACAGAAAGGGACACTGACAGGTAGCTCTACCCACGACTCCAGCTGCCTCTCCTTAGACATCCCAGGAGGGAAGCTCAGCTTCAAAGGTCAGCATAGTCCTCCTCCTCCCCTCGGTAACCTAGAGAGGCCAGGTCCATGGGGGACCTGAGGGAGGTGAAGAACACACAGGGCTTGTAGCATTGTCCACAGCTGAGGATTGGAGACCTTGCTCTTCCCAGGTCTCCCAATCCCTTCTTTACTTGAATTCTAGGCCCCTGGACTAGTTTACAGATAGTCGCTGTGTGGCAGTCAGAGCCTGGATCCCACCGTTAGAAGATGGATGGGCTGAGGGATGGCTTCAAGTAACTGCAGGATGGGCTCTCCCGTTACAGGGCATAGGAAGATGGCTGCGGGGCCACAGGCGGCGTGGGTTGCAGGAGCTGGCAGGGCTTTGGATTTGACCAGCATGGTCTAAATGGGGGAAGATCAGAGTTGGGCGTCCCTTTCCCGGAGTTCACCTCACCTGCTCCGGGGACCCAGGAGACTGCTCTCACAGGCGGTTGGCGCAGTTGGTTGTTAGGGACGCCTGAGTCGCTAGGGGGCGGGCCGTGAGCCCTCCGCCCTGGGCGTTGGCGCCCTCCTCCTCCTCGTCCTCCGTCCTCCTCCTTGCGCGTGCTCAGAGAACGACCCTGTGGACTTGGACACCGCTCGTGCTTTCTGGCTGCTTGTTTCGGGGCGCATTAGGCTTTTCGTGTGGAGAGGATGTACTTCTGATAAGGAGTCGGGGAGGAGGAGAAAGCCCAAGAATAACAAAGGAGACAGGGGAAGCGAGGGACTTTCTACAGTTACTTAAGTCTGTGGAATTCCCCTGTGGTCGAGCTGCGGACCCCAACTCTGCTGGGGAGCCCCTTCGGTTTTCTCTAACACGAACTAAGTATCAGAGGCAGGAAGGGCTTGGGCCTCCAGAGCGCTACTTCACTCAGCTTGGTACAGCTCTCAGCACTGGCTTGACAAGTTAGGGTTGCTGTCCTTATCTTTAGGTAGGCAGGACAGACGAAGCCTGGGACCAGGCTGTATATAATAAGAGAAATCGTTCAAAAGAGCAGAGGGACAGAAGACTGGTGTGTGTGTGTGTGTGTGTGTGTGTGTGTGTAAAGCAAAGCTTAGGTTTAAGCTAGCTTCTCTGGTCAGATTGCCTCTGTTGGCGCCTCAGTTTGGAGGGGCTGGGCCTGCAGTAAGCATAGTAGACTAGCCTACTATCAAGCTCCAGAGGTCGAGCCATGCAGTGAGGAGCCAGACAGAAGCCCAAGTCCCTTCAAGCCCTCACAAGAGACAAACCATCACCTGTAGAGTCGTGGGTGATCTTGAACTTCGGATGTTCATGCCTTGCCTCTCCAGAGCTGGGATTTCAGGGGTGTAATTGGGTTTATGCGGCAGTGCCAGAGATTGAACCCAGGGCTTAGTCCATGCTTGATTCTCTGCCATCGGAGTTACATCCCCAGACCAAATGATCAGACATTAGTCAGTGCGGCACTATGGCACCATGGAGGTCCACTCTGCTTTAATCACAGTGTCAAGGAATCCTTGCTTTGAAGATGTGCACCCCCACTCCTGTCCCCACCCCTCCCTCCTGCGTCTAGGTAGGGCTCTGCTTTTGTGGGTTTGTTTTGATAGAGGAGGGTCTTCCCGACATTCCTTAGCTCCACTGTGTTTCAAACGCCGGCTTTCAGCTTCATTCGTGCAAATACGTGTCCGTGTGTATAGATAGGTGCACGGGTGTGTACATGCGTGTGGCGGGTAGAGCGCCAACCTCAGGTGTCCTTCTGCAGGTGCTGACCACATTGAGAAAGGGTCTTTTGCTGCCCTGGTCTCTGTACATCCTTCTCCCCACCCCCCACTGCATAGCTGGGATTATGAAGGCTCGCCCACCATGGCTGGCTTATGTGGCTTCTGGCACTTGAACTTGGGTTCCCTCGCTCAAAGAGCAAGTGTTTTACTGAGCGATCTGCTCAGCCCGGGCTTCAGTTGTTTTCTGCTGT